ACGTAAAATGAATATAAACAGAAATACAGTGTGAAAGGAAGTATGGTAAAATAGTAACTAAACGTTAATAATTGATGAGCTCATATAACCATACACAGATGTAGTTTGACATTTTTTAAATAAAAAGAAAATAAAGACCGACATGAAATAAGCACAAAATATTTTTTAAATCTAAAAAGCTTAAATTTATAAAACTTAGAAAATATTTGCCTTCCACAAAGTAGTTTGGAAATGAACAATATAGAGAGTTTAGAATATCAAAATTTCTATATTGAGATAATATAGAAACTATTAACACTGCCGGTTTTTTTAAGGTGGCAATAAACTGGGAAAATATTTTTGAAACGTACATAATAGCCAAAGCATTAGAATAATAACCAAATTAACTTTATAAAAAACATTTTTAGTAGGAAAAATGGGGATATACAAATAAGCAATTCGCAGACAAAATAGCTTATAAAAAAAATGTTCAGCCCCGCTAGTAAAAAAGAAAATACAAAACAATGAGAAACATTTTTCAGTTAAGATTATCAAAAAACAGCATCAAGTGAAATGGATATACTCATCCGCTGATGATGAAGTGACACCTGAAGGACACTTTCTTAATGTCTGCACCTATTATGCTGCAGTTGTACTTTCCGTTAGTTCAGTGAGACATGGCACTGCTGCAGCCTTGCTTTTTTGAAACTGAGAACTTCCAATTGACTTTAGCAATGAGGGAATAGTTAAATATTAAATTATAGTACAACTTGGACATGGGTACTAAGTGAAGGTTAGAGCAAGTCAGATTTTATGTGCTAATACTTAAGTATTAGTGTGACAGACAAAATATTTAACAAGAATTCATGTTCACCTTCCACAGTAGCGGGACCGTAGCTGAGCACACGGCTCGCTGCAACCACATGTAACTACTGGGTCATCAGAAAAGTCATGACGAGTTTTTCTATGTTTTTCTATGCAAAAATGCATCATGACTTTTCTGATGACCCAATAAATTCTCACCAACCGTAGATGAGTTTTGGAGTACTATGTGCCCTTCTGGGTTCGCTAGTAAGAGTGATGGTATCCAAGCTATTTCCCTTCCACATAAAGCTGGAAATACATGAGAATAAGGCACAATGCCTGAAATAAAAGCAGGAAAATGCTCCACAAGGTGGTGCCGTCTGGGAGGTCGCAGGTTTGTGTGCCAAGGTCTCCCTGTGCACACCGGGCACATACATGCACTTGCCCATGAGCTTAACTCTCTTTAACAAGAAAATAATAAAAGAATCCTGAGTCCCCAAATAAGCACATAGAAGAGTCTCGCCACCAACTCAATAAATGAAAAATTCTCCATTACTAATTTCAATAGAACTACAATCAAAATCTTAAATTCTTTACCTGAGGGACCAGCAGTTAGCGTATAGTTGGCTATGTTGCTGGACTCCCACGTAGTCGACTGTGGTTCGAGTCCGGGACCTGGTGGCTTAAACTGACGCCAGGCGCGTGTGCGTGCGTGCCCGCCCAAGATCCCAAGAGGAGAACAGAGAAGGGATTGTGGCGTGGCCATCCCCCCGGGGGGTGATTTCTCGCTTTCTGTCTCTCTCTCTGTCTGCCTGGCGAGCGCACGCGCCCTATAGCAAAAACCTCTCCAAAAAATAAAAATTCTTTACCTGAGACTACCCAGATGGTTATACAACTTCACCCACACTTTCCTTTTTTTTAAAGAGATTTTTGCCATAGGGTGCATGCACTCACCAGAGAGACAGAAAATGAGAAGTCACCCCCCACAGGGGGGTTGGCCACGCTACAAACCCTTCTCCTCCATTCTCCTTCTGGGATCTTGGACATGCATGTACAAATGCCCGGTATGATTTTAAAGCCGCCAGGGACTTGGAACTGTGGTTGCCCATGTGGGAGTCCGGTGATCTAACCACTACACCATCGGTTGGTCCCAACCCACATTTTCCTTTTCAACCTTATCACTGTCACTATGCTCCCCTCTCATTGCGTCCTTTTAATAAGCACACCAGGCTTATTCCCACAATAGGGACTTTAAACTTTCAGTACTTCCACTTGGACTGCTCCCCTCTACGACATCCCTGCCCTCAGCCCAAACACCCATGAAGCCCTCTCCCTGCTAGTTCCAATATCTAGTCGGGGTTAGTTTTTTACTGACAGGTCATCTTTATCTGCAAATGGGTTAGATTTATCATTTCTTTGCATATCTAATCATTTTTGGTTAAAAAGAAACTTTGTAAAAAATGTTATAATTACTGGATTTTGTGTTACTCTTTCAAAGGACTAGGCAGGTCACGTATTATACAGTGGTAGTAAGTGTTATACAGATTCCACATTGGCCAACCAGGGTTCAAGTACCAGCCCTGGAAGCATGAAAGAAATAATGGGCACATACATTGGCCTAGAATCCTGATGGTATGGAAAATTAGAAGTATGTGTTCATTGGTATAAGAAGCCACGTAATGATCAAAAGTAAGAAACTGGTCCTACAAAAATTAAATACACATGCACTTAATAAAGCAAAGAAAATGCATATTCTATACATAAGTTTACAAACATATCAATGTTTTACTGCCTATAAATAATCTGCACAAGATTAACAATTACAAGCCTGAAAATCTATTCTCATTACAGGAAAGATAAAAAGGAGCTCTAGTCTACAAGGAAATGGTTTACTAAGGTATAGGGAATCAAATATGCAATCATTGCCATGATAAACTAAACTATTACAAACGGCCTTTCCCTGCTCCAATCCAAAAAGTTAAATATGAATTCACAAGATTCCCAATAAACATATCACACACGGCTAATGTGATCCTAGTAACGCATGAGATCAAAACATAAGGTTTTGCTTAAAACAATTAGCTGAGGAACCGAAGCACAAATACAAGGATAATTGCTTCCTTTGGGCTTTAGCTGTCAAACACTGGAAATGCCAATGCTTTTTTATAGTCCTGTGATAATTAAAACTCTGTCATAGACCTAGACTATTGATGAATATTTATTTTTAAATGAATTTTCAGTATGACCCAAAAGCACAAGCAACAAAAGGAAAAATAAACACACTGGACTTATCAAAAGTAGTAACTTCTGTACTTGAAAGGACACCATCAAGAAAGTAAAAGAGATAATCCACAGAATAGGGGGAAAATATTTGCAAATCACATATATCTCATAAGGGTTTAGTTTTCAGAACATATAAACAATGCTTACAATTAACATTAATAAGACAACTCACTTTTTTAAATGAGCAAAGGACTTAAACAGATGGTTCTCCAAAGAGGACAAACAAATGGTCAATAAGCATACTAGTGATGCTTATCATCAGTCATTATGGAAATGAAAACCAAAACCATGTGATACCACTTCAAACCAACAGGATGGCTAAAATACAAAAAACTGACAATAGTAAGTGTTTGCGGGGATGTGGAGAAACTGAAACCCTCATACACTGATGGCGAGACAGTTAAATGGTACCGCAGTTCCTCGAAGAGTTACACACAGAGTTACCATTATTACCTGACAATTCTACCCCATCCATGTATACTCAAAAGAAACAAAAACATGTATCCACACCAAAAACAAGAATGTTCACATCAGAAGCATTCCTAATAGCCCAAAAAGGCAGATACAGCCCATTAATTGATAAATGGACAAATAACATGGAATACAATGGAATGTATTAAGCCATAAAAATGAATGAAATGCTGATGCATGCTCTGAAATGAGTAAATCCAAAAAATATTTAAGTGAAGAAGCCAGACACAAAAGAACAAATACTGTATGTTTCCATTTTTATAAAATGTACAGAATAGGCAAGCCATACGAAAGTATAATAGTACTGCCTAAGGCCCGGGTGATGAAACTATACTAAGACGAGACAGTCATGATAATTACCTAACTCTGTGACTACACTAAATTATCACTGAATTTTGCAACAGAATCTTTTGGCGTGTGAATCACATCTCAAAAAAAATAAACATACTAAAGATAAATTTAAAAATTTAAATATAAAACAAATATTTAAACTTGTTGAAATAATGAAAAGTCTGGTTAAGAGCTCTGTAACATTTGCTCCTAAAACTGCTTGCTCTATTTATTATAAATAAGCAATAAATGCATAGTATTAACTATTGAAAATTTAAGTATCCACTATTATAGAGTTTTGGAAACATCAATTGATTGAATATTTATGGTTTCAAACACATTGAAAATAAAAATAATTTCAAATATTTCTTCATGTACCTAGGGAGTCTCCAATAGCTAATGAAATAAACATATTTATCTTGGGAGGGGGAGACCAAAAAGATTTTATTATAACAAAGGTCTAAGCACTTCCTTCCCGTTTTTAAAGTGTATTTAATAACTTTGGTTAACATCGAAAAATTATTTATCTGTATAATCACCAGAGCACACCAATCTAAACACTACATAGTTGAAATCAAACATATTCTTCATGTACCTTTAATCAAAAATAAAGAAAGTAAAAACTATGAAACTTTTTAATTACGGAAACCTCTAATTGCTTTTACATTTTAATCTAGAGTAATCCAGATTGAAAACAGCAGAGGGCCTGACCACAGTAATGGAATTCATGTTGGCATTTTATATCAAACAAGGTCTCTTAGGAGGAGAAGTCAGGCAATGGTTGGCAAAAGAAGAAATCTGTACTAGCTTTACCAACCAACGGAGAATCACTAGAGTACGAAGTACGAAACATACTGTTTCATTCATAAAGCACTATCATTCCTACCTACTAACCACATTTCTTTCTTTGACCTCTTAATATTTAGGATTGAAGACTCTTCTGGACACAATGTGTAGAAACAATCAGGAGATCACAATAGGTATAAAGAAAAGAAATTTAGTACCAAGTAAAAATTAAAAGGAATATAAATCATAAATGTAATTTATAATGGCTATTGTAAATGTTATTCACATAGGATATGTGTAAACTTAAATAACATGCAAAGTACTTAACACAGAGAACAGGTACTTACCAAATACTCTGATAGCCTTTTAAAGCTCCTGCTGATGGTTGAGATCCCCTAAATAAAAAAACAATACATGGAATTAATTTTCAACTTCAGAGTGATACCTACCACTGTAATATCTACTCAAGATTCATTTAACACGAGGATTATTTGTTTTTGTATATTTTAAAACCCAAAAAATATGCTAAAACTTTGTTTTATGAAAAGTATAGATGTTTTCATGATCTTATAAATAATTTAAATTTTATCTGTAATATATAGAGAAGCTAATGAATTAACAATACACGGCAGAGTTTAGAAGTCCACAGAATGGAGAAGCGCTACCACAAGTCAGACTTAAAGAATTACAGATCAAGGCAACAGTATGCTAACTAGGTCTTAGAGAAGTATTCATAGGTTCAATACTTCCTGGAAATCAACCTATAACGCCATTACTCCATCTCCTAGTTACCTGCTTTTGAGTAGCACTTAAATAACTTAAAGAGTCTATAGGGTTAAAATAGAGTCAATAAGTGGAAAAATAGTTTACAAAGTATTCATTCCATATTTATTTTTAAAATTATATGAACATTTAAAAAGACATCATGTGTTGATAGTAAAAAAGAAATTAGAATACTGGGTGGTGCAGCAATAGTACTCTAAGGCCCACATGGAAAAGGTGCTGCACTGACATCCTGGAACTTCCCTGAGCCTGTAAGGTGCCTGTGTGGAGAAGAGAGGGAAAAAGACAGAGATCACAGCATGACGACCTCACTGGAGGTGACTGTCTTTCTATCTCTTTATCTCTGTCCCGCTCATGGAATGAAAGAAATGAACTCTTAAAAATAAAAATATTGTACTCATAATAATAAGAAATGTATAAACTAGCAAGTGAATTTACTATTAACAAAAGTTAGCTATAATTTTATAATAAACTTATATTGTACCAATCTTTTCAGTCAAGTCTCAAGTCAAATTAAGTTCAAAAACTTCAATGATAAAAGCACTTGGCTCTTATTGTCTGCCAACCACTTTGCTCTGGCAAAAATTTATATATACTATTTTTTTTTAAATCACCTCATGCCTTGTAGAGATTAAGTCATCTGCTTAAATATAGTGACTGTGCTTGACTACAAATTCCATTGTGTTTTTTGGCTGTTAGTTTTTTTAGGTTTCTGCCCTAGGGTGCACATGCTCACTGGAAAGAGGAAGAAAGAGGGACAGAGAGAGGGAAAGTGAGAAATCATCCACTAAGGGGAATGACCATTCGGCAATTTCTTGTCCTCCATTCTCCTCTAGGGATTTTGGACACGCATACACGAGTGCCTGGAGTGGTTTTCAAGCTGCCCAGTCCAGGACTAGAACTGTGATCAGCCATGTAGGAGTCCCATGCCTTAACCACCAAGCTACCCACTAGCCCCAAACCAATGTTTTTACATCACCACTATGACTCCTCAAAAAATAAAAATAAAAATAAAAATAAAAATAAAAATAAATAAGAACAAGACATATTATGAAATAAAACTAACTGCCCCTTTTAGATTCAGAAAAAAGGTTATTTTTGAATTCCTTTTAAAGAATGACCAGAATAAATACCATCTAACTAGCAGAAATTGTTACCATACTAGAAATTACAATATCTCATATAAAAAGAAATCAGGGCTGGCTCCATAGCACAGCAGTTAAGTGCTATACATAAGGAAACAGATCACACACAGCAGATCATGGTTTGAATCCTGGCCTCTACAGCTTGAAAAACGTGCCAGACACATGTTTTTGTGTACCCAGGATCCAGGATCCTGATGAGATGGGGGGATTGCACTGTGACCTACTCCAAGGTATGCCTTCTCTCTTCCTCTCTCTCTCTTACTCTCTCTGGTGAGTGGACGC